TCTCCATTCTCCAGGTGCAGCACTTGACTGTCACGTCATTAGAGCTGAACATATAGTACTATGTAGAATTATCTCCATTCTCCAGGTGCAGCACTTGACTGTCATGTCATTAGAGCTCCACATATAGTACTATGTCGAATTATCTCCATTCTCCAGGTGCAGCACTTGACTGTCATATCATTGGAGCTGAACATATAGTACTATGTCGAATTATCTCCATTCTCCAGGTGCAGCACTTGACTGTCATGTCATTAGAGCTCAACATATAGTACTATGGTGAATTATCTCCATTCTCCAGGTGCAGCACTTGACTGTCATGTAATTAGAGCTCCACATATAGTACTATGTCGAATTATCTCCATTCTCCAGGTGCAGCACTTGACTGTCATGTAATTAGAGCTCCACATATAGTCCTATGTCGAATTATCTCCATTCTCCAGGTGCAGCACTTGACTGTCATGTCATTAGAGCTCCACATATAGTACTATGTCGAATTATCTCCATTCTCCAGGTGCAGCACTTGACTGTCATGTAATTAGAGCTCCACATATAGTATATGTAGAATTATCTCCATTCTCCAGGTGCAGCACTTGACTGTCATGTCATTAGAGCTCCATGTTCAAACAAGAGGCAATCTCCGACCTGATCCGGAGTTTGACCCGATTAAGGTCATATTCTACACAATACACAGTGACAGTAGACAGGTCAAACAGGAATTCTCTGGAGCAATAATTGTTGACGCTGAGAGTGCTGCTGTTCAGGTTAAAACTTCAAAGTCTGAATTAGGGGGAGACGATGTCGATGTATCAAAACCTCGCACTTCAATGTTAGATTCAACCTCAATAGTAGATTCACCAAAACCATCAACTTCAAGAGTAGATTATCCAAAACCATCAACTTCAAGAATAGATTCTCCAAAACCATCAACCTCAAGAATAGACTCTCCAAAACCATCAACTTCAGGAGAATCAGTATCTTCTAGAGGGCACACCTTACTTGAGAAATCTGGCATGAGATCTTTGGAGGCCACATATGTGATGGATGAAAAGGAGTTGATCAGTGAGGTGAAATCTCTAATACTAAGGTGAGTATTAAAGAACAGTGAATACTGTTACCGTACTTCTACTTAATTTGACACTACTTATTTTAGCGGATTTGCTGTTTAGAACTAATTAATTTGGTGGACTTTAACGATTTGGACTGATCCGCCAAATTAAGTAGAAGTACAGTAAGTTATAATAGACCTTTCTAATAAATCCTGTCCTCTTTTTGTGAACAAGAGAAAGTAGAATATGCTAACATACTTTTCAGACTAAATTGTTAAAGTTGTTAAAAATGAGCAATTGTTTTATCCTATTTCTTTATGATAATGTAAGAATTGCATTATAGCTAATGTTTGGCATGATTTGTGAGAAAACAGCATGATTTTGAAAGAATTGAACCTCCCCTGACTACATGGCTGAGGGTGATCGGCTCCTTTTTTAAGAACTTCGTGCGAATATTGAAAATATTTTAACCCAACCTTGTATTCTCATCTCTTTTAGAAATGACCCTGATATTCTGGTAGGGTTTGAGATCCAGATGTTATCCTGGGGCTATCTTCTACAGAGAGCTGCACATTTGGATATAAACCTCGCCCCAGCAATATCCAGAATCCCAGGTGAGTCAGATTACTATAAAAGACATTTTATTTGCACCAGCAATTTTTGCAGATTTGTACATTTCTTTGCTTTTCACACACTCATGTTTTCATGATTTTGCAGGTGCCTCAATTCATGCCAGTTATACATTATTAAATTCATGAATATATGCAAATTAAAGATGTCCATTGATTTTAAGTATTGGAGATAAAAGCCCACAGGAGAAGTTACACTTAAAGTTAATTTCATTAGGTTAAACTGCCACCTTGAGAATGGATAAAGTTTCTCTTAAAATGTTTCTAGTCCTTTTTCTTGAACAAACATTTACTTTATTTGATATCAAAAGTAGGTCCATTGTATATATAATTCTATATTTTTGATAGCATTCTTGATGAGGTTGTGCTAAGGGTAACTTTGTCTGCTGTTTCAGATGCTGCCAAGGAGAGCAGTTTTAAGGCAGAAAGAGATGAGTGGGGAGCAGACACTATGTCTGAGATACATATAGCTGGGCGTGTAGTCATCAACCTATGGAGGATTCTCAGACATGAGGTATTAACCTTTTAAGTGGATTAAGTGAGCTCAGCTCAGGGTGCTATACTTAGTTGATTTTTCACCTTTTCATGTCACCAACAGAGGTGATGACATAATGTTCTAGTCTCTAACCTTTTGTGGATGGTGTTCAGTGTTCGGTGATTGGTGTTCAGCATCCAGAAGTCGGTGTCTGTAACAAATGGCAGGTAGTGACATTTTGCATGTTAATGTCTTGTCTCTTCCTTAACCATATCTATATTGTGTCTCTTGGCTCACTTTGTATAGGGTGGTTTATAAGTTGTTAGTACCGAAAAATTGTTTTAGCTTACAAATTTGATGTACAACTTTACTATTTTATTAAATAGTAACACCTCTTTTCTGGCATTGAATCTTTCTATCTTTTGTTTTTGCAGGTGACACTGAATGTGTATACATTTGAGAATGTTGCATATCATGTCCTTCACCAGAGGGAGCCACTGTTCTCATTCAAACAACTTTCTACATGGTACAAACAACCTGCACATAAAAACAGGTGATTTGTAAGCCTTTGATTACATGTATGAAGAATGGAAAATTAAAATAATTTTTTATTATTTAATTAATCGTGCCAGTTATAAGTGTTAATATCTGAGATGGTTAGATAATTGAAATTTCATAGATTTTGATGTTACAACAAGAATTTCTATCAATTACTGACCAACTGTTAGTTAAAGTTCATTTGAACTATATTTCAATCCAAATGAATAATTGTAAGTAATTTGACAACAGTATTTGAACATATTTATATAAGGTATATTATCTGGTTATAGATGGCGTGTCATTGAGTTCTACCTGACCAGAGTGAATGGCAACCTTGCGATAATGAAACAGCTTGATCTTATTGGTCAAACAAGCGAGTTTGCACGTGTATTTGGCATAGAATTTTATCACGTGCTTAGCCGGGGATCACAGGTTTGTTCTTGTGACATCTTTTGTTTGGTCGACAGAGATAAATAATTAAAAATAATTCAGTGTAAAATTAATATTACCCCAAATTTCTAATTTTTACATTGTATAAAACCATACAGTGAAGCCTGTATATCTGAATGCCTCTCTTGTCCGAACACCTCTCAATGTGAACATTTTTTCTGGGTGCCAATGTTATCCCCCATTGACTTTCATGTTTATAAAACCGTGAAATGTGAACACCTGCTTATCTAAACACTTTTGTATTTCCAGTATCGTGTTGAGTCTATGATGCTGAGGATAGCAAAACCGATGAGCCTTATTGCCGTATCTCCAAGCGTCCAACAGCGAGCCCAGCAAAAAGCCCCAGAATGCATCCCCCTAACCCTTGAGCCCCAGTCTAGGTTCTACAGCAATCCTGTGATAGTGCTTGATTTCCAGTCTCTCTATCCGTCCATCATGATTGCCTATAACTACTGTTTCTCAACATGCCTAGGGCGAGTGGAGAACTTGGCTCATGCACAGTGAGTATTGAGTCTTGTAACATTAGAAACTCAGGTGTAAACACATTTACAATTTTCGATTATTTGTTGCTTAGATTCTAGAATTTGCCAAATGTTTAGTCAAGATTTTATAGAGCCCTTTAAATAATCAATTGGGGGAAAAGCCAAACTCACAAAATCTTTATGAAAAGTTGACTTCTAATGGTCTGTGTTTCCAGATACAGATTACACCTGTAAAAAGGAAATATTAGGATATTAACATATAATAATTGATATGATTTTCAGTGAAGGTATGTTCGACTTCGGCTGCACATCATTGGGAATAGATCCAAAACAGCTCAAGGTATGGACATAAATTGGAAATGGTTGTTGTTATTTTTATCAAAGGGGCGAGTTAACTATAATTGTAAATTGATCGATTATAATTGAAAAAGAAGCAATAATAACACATTCTATAATATTGCTCATGCACTTATTTATCACAAATTTGTTGTCATGTTCTGTACTTTTACAATAATTGTTCAGAATGTGTCCATATTGCCTTGTACAACTACAGATGGGAATCAATCACTATAAGGCTAAAGGGGCTAAATCTATAAGATTCAATATTTTGTATTATTGGAAATTTTTTGTATTGATGCATATTAAACTATACTGTTTTTATAACCAATTTACAACTAATAAACATGAATTACAACTCCCAATTTAAAAATACCATGGTATTACAAATTTGGTTCATTTTTACAGGATCTCCGTAATGACATTACAATTTCTCCAAATGGCGTTGTATTTGTAAAGTCGAAGGTGCGTAGAGGGATCCTTCCAATTATGGTTCAAGACATTCTCAATACTCGCATCATGGTGAAAAAATCAATGAAACTCAACAAAGAGGATAAGGTACATTCGATACTTGAAAATATATAACCTGTAATAACTTAATTGATTGTACTATGTACAAAATGTACATGTCTGCATATAGCTCCAATATAATTAGATATTACCAGATTGTACATCTCAGAGTGAAATAGATCAAGCCTAAAATGGAGATTACTGTATGTTTAAGTCTCTGTCAAATCTGATGCAATCCTGCAACCCTAAGTTATAAAATAACCTTTCAAGGGGGTCATCAATGGACAATTTACCTATTCCTAAATGAATTGTTGTAACCATGGATACAATGACGTCATAGTAGGAGAACATTGGACTGAGGTTCAAATTTTAAGTCTCATGTTTTATTTGATACACAGGCACTAGAAAGACTTCTCCATGCAAGACAGCTGGGTCTTAAACTTATCGCAAATGTCACATATGGCTACACCTCCGCCAGTTTCTCCGGGCGCATGCCTTGTATTGAGGTTGGGGACAGCATCGTTAGAAAGGCCAGAGAGACCCTTGAACGAGCCATTTCTTTGGTGGAGAACACCAAAAAGTGGGGAGCCGAAGTTGTGTATGGAGACACAGACAGTCTGTTTATATTGCTGAAGGGGAGATCTAAAGAAGATGCATTTAGGATTGGACAGGAGATGTGTGATGCTGTTACCAATGACAACCCTAAACCAATCAAGCTGAAGTTTGAAAAGGTACAAAAAAATTGTGTTGTATTCCCCCATTGTTTAAATGTACTTATCTTATTCATTGATGCATTATTGTTATATTTAGGTTCTTCTTGCCCTGTTATTTAGGTGTACTTGTCATGTTAATTAGATGTACTTGCCCTGTTACTCAGGTGCACTTGCCATGTTATTCAGTTGTACTTGTCATGTTATTCAGGTGTATTTGCCCTGTGTTCTGCAAACCAAAAAGAGATATGTTGGTTTCATGTATGAGACCCCAGATCAGAAAGAACCTGTGTTTGATGCTAAGGGGATTGAAACAGTTCGCAGAGATACATGTACAGCTGTTTCTAAGGTAAAGATTAATAAAGAGACAATATTATAATGAATGAGCAAAGCATTGATCTCATGAGTTTCAGTGACATTCAAACAAGATATATTGATTTTGGCTATGATACATTTTGAAGTCCAATGCATGTTTGAGTTTCGAAAACTTAGCTGAAGAATTTTGAATTAATAAACAAAACTGACCTTGGCAGTGCAAAAATTTATTGTTATGTACCTAAGTTTACACTGACTAAAGTGTATTTTCACATCTTGAAATATAACTTAGTGTATGCTTTCAAGATATCAACTAAATGTAATAATCATGTTGATGTACAGAGTGTCCATAATATTTTTTTACACTTTACACAGACTTTGTATTGTAATTATTAGAAGGAGACTTTATGGAGACCCTGTAGTTTTAATGAAATTTTCACCCTTGGATTTCACTCCACTTAACAAAAATAAAATTGTATTTCAGATCCTAGAGCGTTCCATCAAGATCCTATTTACCAGTCGAGACATCAGCGCTGTGAGAAACTATGTCCAGTCCCAGTGCAAGAAGCTAATAGATGGCAGGGCAAATATCCAGGATTGCATCTTCGCCAAGGAATATCGAGGAATGGCTGGATACAAGCCTGGAGCATGTGTACCAGCATTAGAGATTGCAAGGTAAAAATGGGTTGGAATGTTGAATGTTTAATCTTTTCAGTGCCCTTGTAATAACCATTTATGCCAACTTTTAATGAAATTGATATGGAAATTTTTATAGGTTTTGTTCCAACCTGAAAATAATTAATATTTAAAAATGAAAAAATGTAAATGATGACCTACCACTTGACCCAAATCACCTGAAATTACAGCTTATTTCATCTCATTCATTTTCAGGAAAAACTTGGTTGTTGATCGCAGATCTGAGCCCAGGGTTGGTGAGAGGGTCCCCTATCTCATAGTCTATGGACCCCCTGGCTTGCCTCTAATCCAGCTGGTGCGCAAGCCTGATATCTTCCTCAGTGACCCGTCCATGCGGCTCAATGCCACCTACTACATCACCAAGCAGATCCTACCTCCTCTAAATAGGATTTTTGCCTTGTTAGGAGTAGATGTATTCAAATGGTATGTACAATACCTTTGTTGTTGTTGAATATAAAATGTTAACACTTTTAATGGGTGCTGCATCGCTCACATAAAAGTTACACCAGGGCAACATACATAAGTATCAATCCACTACCCAGAGGCCTGAGATAATTGGTTTTGATTTTCAGCATTGAATAACATGTCAACCATGCAACTTATTCAACAATTTGATTTTGTCAAGTAGCTCCAAAGCTCTTCTTTGCATCTGATTTACACTACATGTAGTACACTATGAATTAGTATTTTCCAGTGTTATCCTTGTATTTCCCACTCTCCATCCTGTTATTCAAACACATCAATGACTACTACTAGTCTACTACAGGGTTGATACCGATCAGATGTCAAAGATATTTCTGCATTTTGCTTGTAGGTACCAGGACATGCCTAGAAGCACCAAAGTTGCTCCTGTAGCACCTGTAAATGTGGCACAGAAGAAGGTATGTGGCGATAAAATACTACTGCCAATTGAAAATTCAATTATTTAGATTTTGAGTGGCTGAATTTATTAAGTGTATGCCTTAAGGATCTGAGGGCTGCTGGTCAAAATGCCATCACTGATCAGTTGCAATGTTATTTTCCAATACCTTGTGAAAAATAACTGGTCAGTATTCAAAGTAACCTGATAATGACCAAATGACCGGGCCCTAGGGCATACCCTGTTCATTATACATTAATTGTATACCTTGAAATAGACACACAGTTGTAATGTTAGTATTCAATATCGTAATTGTTATAACTCTAGGGTATGATATCTCAGTATTTCTCTACCATGAACTGTGCCATATGTGAAGAACTCACCAAGAACAATGTCTGTGATGCCTGTCGTCGTGACCCCCAGAATGTTGTCACAACCTTGAATACTAAGATCAGCAAGTGGGAGAGAGCATTCAATAGTATTTCACAGGTAAATTGATTGACTAATCCATAGAATATTATTATCACCCACAATGTTAGAGTCTTCTGAATTGAAATAAGTTTTACTTTTCTAAAACTTTTAATTTATTTCACAAATATTCTCAAATAATGATATAACTTTGAATATGAGTTGAGAGGTGCATTTCCATTTAAGAATAAAAATGAAATGTGTATTTCTTCATGAATAAAAATGAAATGTGTATTTCTTCATGAATAAAAATGAAATGTGTATTTCTTCATGAATAAAAATGTAATGTGTATTTCTTAAATGTGTATTTCTTCATGAATAAAAATGAAATGTATATTTCTTCATGAAAAAAATGTGTATTTCTCTTCATGAATAAAAATTAGATGTGTATTTCTTTATAAATAAAAATTTGTAATCATCAATTTTAGTTTTTAATTTAATTTTGTTTCTTGCTCCATCCATTAATTTTTACATGCAGATAATAACTATGTATAGGGAGTGTATATTGTGCTACATGCAAGATCAATCAAAATATTTGTATTAATTGTCGTACTTATTGCAGATATGTGCCAGCTGCCAGGGAGTACCACAGGACAACCAGAATTGCACATCCCTCGACTGTCCATTGCTCTTCAGGCTGCATAGAGGGAAACAGGATATGGTTAAAGCTGAGCAATACAGAGAGTTCATTGCTAAACTGTTTTGACCCTAATATGATCAAATGTGATGGAACTGACTGACTGATGAAGCTGGATGTTTTAAGATGAATAATAACACAAACAAAGCTGAGTTTATCACTTAAACTGCTTTGACCCCGATTTGGATTCAACAAATGTAATGGATGTCCAAGCATGATCATAAGTGACCAACTGACGAAAGTGGATATTTTAAGATGAATAATGATACAAACATAGCTCACGTGGATGGCTATCAGTTTGAAATATGATAACTGATTATAGATAAATATCTGGCTTTAGCTGCTAAAGCTAAATCTGGATATCTTGTCTCAACAACAAATGTAGATTTATCAGACCAAAACAAAAAAATATTGAGTTTATGTTTAGACTCAATCAAGTTTCAGAGATTAACAAGAAATGTGGATAATCATCATAACCAAACCACAAATGGTGATATATTTTAGAGACAAAACAGAATCATCAGTGGATAAAAATCATATCCTAACAACAAGCAAGGATAAATATCAGGCACAGCAACAAATGAGAAAAGTATCTGAATAAACAAAACATGTCGATACATAAATCAAACAAGAATTGTGATCTGGGTAAATAACAGTCCAAAGCAACAATGAATACTGAAATTACCCAACCGACTTGAACGACAAAAAATGAGGATAGATAAATAATATCATAATGAATGTAATGTATGTTAAGAATAAGTTGCAATGTATGCTATTAAAATTCCTTGACTCATGATTTAAATTCAGTTTCAAGCAATGCTTCAAAATTGTAGAAGATAATAATGAGAATTTTTTTCATGTTGTTAATTTTTTTATTTTAATTAGTGTTAGTTTAATGGGTTTATAGATATGGTATTTTGATTTATTTATTATTAAGGAGAACAATGTCGAATTTTGTCTCATTCATTAGCCTGATGTACTTATACAGTAACTTGATGTACATTTACAGTAACCTAATGTACCTGTACAGTAACTTGATGTACATGTACATTAACCTGATGTACTTGTACAGTAACTTGGTGTACATGTACAGTAACCTAATGTACTTGTTCAGTAACCCAATCTACATATTGTACAGTCGCCTAATGTGCAGTAACCTGATGTTTATATACAGTAGCCTGATGTACTTGTACAGTAACCTGATGTTCTTTCACAGTAACTTGATTCACTTGAACAGTAGCCATTTGTATTAGTACACTAAAATGATGTACATGTACAGTAGCCTAATGTACTTGTTCTTGGAGTAATGAACGCCTGTTTAAATATCATTTCAGAAATTTCTTCCCTACAATGCGTTCATTTTGTTCTAAAACCTCATATGGGTGCAAATGGATTATCAAAAGGTGCAAATGGATTATCAACTGGGTGCAATTTTATTTTCAAATTCTCAGTCAGGCACAGCGCCTGATTTCTAACACTGCTTGCCTTGGTTTAGTTTTTCACAATCAGTATTATGTAAGTATCATGCCTGTTAGATTCCATATGTTTTCCTAGGTGTTTTTAGTCACACGGTAAAATGCTTAATTTCAATGTCAGAAATGAAATGTATTATAAGGTGTAAAAAACATGGAATCAGGTGTGTAATTGTATGTTGAATGTACTGTTATTTAGTATTTTTGTATTTCAGTAATTTAAATAATGAATAGAGGTTAATTTAGTGAATCTGATAATTGGTGAATATATATGTAATACCAATAGCAGTACTGTTAAAACCATTACAGTTATTTATTTACTTTAATAGTAATAGAAAGAAATTGTCAGACTGTACATTATGACTACTGTAAAACCATAATGTTGTTCACAGTTTAAGAGTTGTGATCATATAGGAGGGTTGTCCCATAAGTTCTGAACTATTTTTTAACCTTCTTAAATAGCCTCCAAGATTTTGTGTATATTGCAATTGAAGTGTTATCTATTATATCCTAAAGTTCCAGCAACATATGTTAATGTTAAGTCATAAAAGGGTTGCAATATTCAAGACTTATGGGACAACCCTTGTATATTAGGTGTAAGTATAAACTGATAAATTCAGATATTACTTGGTCTAGAGGTGCATATATGTAGTCTGGTATTCTTGCCAGTTTCACAAGATCTCCCAATTTTGTATCAACATAATACTGTAAAGTAAAGCACGAAGAGCAAAATGTTGTGGACAGTGGAGATATCCCAAATATTTTTAATGTCATCAAAAATATACATAACTTTAGATCATCTCAAATAATGAATGGGAATTATTTTTAAATAGTAGTGGGCCTCTCTTCCATCACTTAATATGTCCATATCATTTGAGTATGTTGGTTAGAGATGAGCCAATACTGAGTCCATACCACTATCAAACACTACCACGTATCCATTTGAGATTATATTCCTTACTGTACCAACACACCTTGTGCTATTCCCAGTATTGATTGACCAGGATTTACTGGAGAATTGTAGTGTATAAGTATGATGGTCTGAAATAATTTCGATTCTGTAAAATGTTGTTGGCGGAGACTTTGATGGCACATACTAAGTCCATTATATTTGTATTCACATTTTGATATTAGCACCAAAACTAAAACCGGTACATAATTTTTTTAAATTTATAATACATGTATATGCTGAAATTGTACATTTATAAAAACTAATGGGTGAAATCAAAATAAGTCATATAGCCCTAATCTGTAAAGCACATTTTTGTTCATATATATAGTCTGTACACCTATATACTAAATATAACTTAATTTGTTGAATACAAGAAATTGTCACCGCTACCTGTTAAAAAGCTTTGTTGAGATCTAACCTTCTTGAATTTCTCTAGTCAATTGCTTAGTTATCAACGAAGCTTTTCTAACGAAGGTGAATGTGTTACACAGGCATAGAATTCCTTCGTTATGAAGCTTTTTGTCGAAATGCTTCGTAACGAAGCAATTTAACCCAGCTGTGTAACAAGGGCCATTATTATATTTAAAGAAATGATATATATTGAATTACATTAAATGTTTCTATAAATCTATATACTATTGAATAAGAATAGTCTTGAAAAGAAACTGTGATAATTGGGATTTTGTAGATTGTACATAGTGCTATTATAACATTCTACTGCAGTGTATGTCTAAAGAAATAAATTTAGATAGATTTTGATTTTGGGGTATAAACTTATGCATTGTTTTGTTTGTCTTTCAATCAAGTGCCAGCAAGTAAGATTTACTGAGCAATTGCTGCAGTGCAAATCAAGTGTACATACTAGGATTTCTTGCAAATATTGAATGTAGAAAGAACATCCCTCAGCTGCCCATGTAATAAGAATGGCAATTGACTCTTATACCTCAAATAACAGTGAAGCTCTTCATTCAAAATAGGAACAAGGCATTAACATGCAAACTGTCACCACCTGTAATTTGTCACAGACACTGAACACTGTTCACAAAAAAGCTGGAGACTAGCAAAATGACGTTTCTCCTGTTGGTGACATAAACATCTACGTAATACAGGAAAAGACTTACACTATACGCTGCACTATCTAATCATGGGCATATTTCATACATAAGCATTGTTTTAGGTTTTCAAAATAGGAGAAGAAATGCTTCCTGTAGACATTCTAAGGAAAATCTTGTTTTGTGCTTTTCATGTATGATTTTAACCCAAAAATAGAAACATGATTATCTGCATACATGTTGATAATTTAATACAAAATGGAATTCATCACAATTATGGCAATAATGAAAGTTAACATTCTCCCACAAATTATATTTTTTAAGGAATGTGTTTTTGAATAATTACCCACAATATAACACTCAAAGAGAACATTTTGATACCTCTTCCTTTTTGCTCTTTTTTAATTTTAAATGAGATCATGGGGTTTCAACTAGAATAATGAAATCCCATGATGAGATTATGATCATGAGTTTTATGTTTTAATCATATTCAACATTGATTTATCTTCAAGATAGTATTATTAGACTCCAGATTGAAAATCTGGAGTCTATTGTTTTTGCCAGTATTCTTATTCTTATTATTAGACTCCAGATTGAAAATCTGGAGTCTATTGTTCTCGTCAGTTTTCTTATTCTTCTTATTATTAGACTCCAGATTGAAAATCTGGAGTCTATTGCTTTTGCCAGTTTTCTTATTAGACTCCAGATTGAAAATCTGGAGTCTATTGTTTTTGCCAGTATTCTTATTCTTATTAGACTCCAGATTGAAAATCTGGAGTCTATTGTTTTTGCCAGTATTCTTCTTCTTCTTATTATTATTATTATTATTATTTTTCTTTAAGAGTTTTTTCAATAACTATAAGGTATCCAGTAAAGACCATTATACAGTTCATTTAGGTTCAGTATCTAGTTGGTGGGAAATTGGGTCAAATTTTTATCTAGGTCAAAGGTCAAGAATTAGGTCAAATCCAGTACTTTGTCACTTTTTTCGATTTTCTCGGTCGTCCTTCAATATTTTTGATCCGTTTTTTTTTCATTGTGTTCCTCATAAAAAAGTAGGAAATCTAGGGTCGATTTAGTTTTTTGATATCTCAAACCGATTTTGAGATATGGCGTCCAGAAAGTAGGTCACACCAAAAAGTGCTCCAAATTCAATGTATGAGTTATGAATTAGGGGTAGAATTTTGTCAGGAATCGGAATCTACAAACCAAAGTTCGATCCGACTTCTGGTTCGGAAGTTATGGCGTTTTGAAAACTCAAAAATCGCTAAATTTTGTGCCCATGTTAAGTCAATGGGAAAAAGATATTTTTTGAAGTGAAAAATACGAAATATAGACTGAGTTCAGCTTAATTTAATGAAAGCCTTCAAAAGAAGGGGACCTCAAAAGCCATCTAGCTTCAGAATTTGGACACCAAAATTCCTAGGTCAAAATCTAGGTCAAATTCAAAGGTTTTCCTTATTTTTGCGATTCTGACACTACACTTCAATTATATTCTTTGAAATTGTGTATACATGTAGCCAAGAGAGTGCTAATAGTGTTAGCCTTTTGCCGTCAGAAAGTATTTTGACCTACTTTTGAGATATGGTGTCCGAAAAGTAGGTCAAAATAAAAAGTTCTCCAAATTTAACGTATGAGTTATGAATTAGGTGTAGAATTTTGTCAGGAATCTGAATCTGCAATTCAAATTTGAATCTGACTGCCGGTTCGGAAGTTATGGCGTGTCCGAAAAGTAGGTCAAAATAAAAAGTTTCCAAATTTAACGTATGAGTTATGAATTAGAGGTAGAATTTTGTCAGGAAT